AGTATTTTTATGACCTACAAATAATTGTTTCAGATCTGATCCCAGTCCCGGAACAATTATTATGATAAAATACATAAATTGCATATGGACAAACATCCAGACTCTGAATGTTTTTTTTTTATTATTTATGTATGTAAACTAGCCCCAAAGAGAACATCCTAATGTGCAGGTAAATATTATACAAGAAAAAAAATTTAATAACTACATACCCGATTTTTCCCACCCTTAAGGGCAAAATTTTTGCTTAAAATATATTACAATATCCACTGAAAAGCTTAGGCTGTCTGATTTAAATATATATATATATATATATATATAAATATAGAGGGGCCCTGGAGCCACAGGTTTATTTATTATAGAATAAGGGTGACAAAAAAGCACATTGTCCACCCGATGGTAAGTGGATACTGTGGCCCATAGACATTTATATTTGTCCTCGGTTAAGACTCAGATGCATTGTCACCCTGAGGTCTAAGATGGAATGCCTCATTTCCAGCAAAAAGGGTCTCCAGATTTCTACACTAATCATATGAAACACAGCTGTAAAGCTGCTGTTTTACACTAGTATTCTGTGAGAGCGTCGTCACGAGTAATACCAAGAAAAACAGGAAAGCAACATGTCACAATCATACTGTATTGGTAATTTAGAGTGCTAAGAAATTATACATTTAGTGTTATTGCTATTAATTCTTCAAGACGAGAACATTGAGGACTAAACTGAAAGAAAACCTGAACATATGGTACAATGATTTGGAATGCTCACCAGTCAACCTCGAATGCTGTGGGTTGCGGTCCATGTGCAAACGGTTCTTGGACGCCGCCTCAGCCGCCCGAGACACCGAGCCGTTGCGTCGAGACGACATTCTGTAATAGACATTATATTTGTTTCAAATCTGAGTACTAATTTAATATCATATATTAGTAGATTATATGGAATATATATTGCGTATGGTGGCGGTGTTAAGAATGTCCACAGACCCAATTCGTCCTGTAAGAGGTAACTGTGAGAAATGCCAATAAATCTCATGTGTTTAAAAGGTGCCTGTATAATAAAAGTAAAATATTCAGATCAGTTATGAGGAGCAGCATCACAGTTTAAAGAGAGTATAACAGTTGTGAAACTAATGTACTTGTTCAGAGCAACAGTGGGATTGTGAGCCAGAGCACTTCGTTTAGTCTGTTTTATGAATGCATGAGAGTGACACCAGTGTGTTTTAAAGTATTTAACAAATTTTAAGTACCATTTACTAATATATACCATATAATGGTGAATTAATATTAGTATCTGGATGACCGAGCTTTGCTGGGTATTTTTTTGGAAGTCATGTTTTTTGGAAATATATTTAGTTACAATTTACATACTGGTGAAATATGAATATTATTTTTCAATGTTACCGTCATAATAAAAAAAACCTAAACTGGTAACTTAAATAAAAAATCGTGAGTACAATTAGTTTAATCTAATTTTACGTGTTTTAAAAAAAATACTAAAAAAAGGCCTCAAAATAATAGATTTTCTCACAAATGAAGGGAACTTGAAAAAAAGGAAAAAAGTCAGACCTAAGACATCTGGACTCGAACCGGCGTACCACTATTTCGGGACCGCCTGATATTCTATTTGAGCTATTATAACCTTAAACGCACCGCCAAAATATACCTTCGTATTCTAATGATATTGTAGCAGTTTTTTATTACCTGATGACACGTAGATATTTTTTAAAAACGAATCCTAGCTAGATCGATTTATTGCCCCTCAAAACCCCCTGCACACTAAACTTCATGAAAATCGTTGGAGCCGTTTCCGAGATTCCGATTATATATACAAGAATTGCTTGTTTAAAGGTATTAGATAGATAGAGTAGATATAATTATGGTTTCTTATATTTACGCGAACACTACACATTGAAATAATACTAGTTTTTACGGAATTTATCGCGTATATTTAACTTTTTAAATACCCGACGTTTCGAGAGCTTTACAGCACCCATGGTCATGGGAAGGACTGAGATGTTCAACGTCCAGATGTCATAGTTAACCGCGGTTACCATAGATTAAAATTTAACTTTTGTTCAAAAACAAAACAAAGTTTTACATTTTACAATAGATATAATTAATTAAAGTGACTTTTGGAAAAACCATTTTATTCGGCAAATGAACTACTATTGACTGTTAAACACTGGTTCTTCTGCAATCATATTTTAAAAGGTTGTGAATTGACGCATGTTTCATTTTATATAAAAATATTATATTTTCTAACCATGTTTTATTATACCAAAAACTGGTGAAATATGTGACTTTATTATTTTATGGGTATGTTCCGAAACGTTATCAGTATACTGCTGAATACAAATGACATCATCAATTGACACTATATTGTCCTGGCGTGCCGCCGCCATATTGTGTCAGATGTCCGGCCATAATAAAACAATTTTTAATTGTGTGTGCGCTGAATGAAGCATGCCAGAATTTGTTTTTATTTATTCAAATACAAAAAATTATAGAACAATTGCTGGTATGTCCATTAGGAGGATATAACAATTTTTGGAGCACAAAATAACAAAATAATCGCCAACACATTTCCAATATGGCGCAAATGTATGATTTCATATACGGTCATATGTTTTGGAACGAATCACCAGTATAGCGTCGATTCATGACATCATTTGTTTTGGACAGTACACTGGGTTCTAGTTTGGAACATACCCTATATGGACGAACATCTTAGTACCATAATTCTAATAAATACATTATTTATACTTATATATATTACTTTTACTTATATGTGTTACTAAATAAAGCTGAATTCAAATCACAGCCATGCTTATGTTTCCCTCATATTTTATGATAAAGTTTTTCATCAAAATAATTTACATAATTAAATTTAACAATTGAAAACTGAAAACATATATAAAAAGAAAAGGTATTTTTTCTTGTAGTAATTAAATATATTCTTGTATAATCTATTTTTTTTTTAACTACAAGTTTGATTATGAGTATAAATTATTTTTTTATGGGTGCCATCTCTTAAAGTGTCATAGTTTTTTACCATAGTACAAATCACTGATGGAGTGGATAAGTGGCCCATAGACTTCTACATTTATCCTTGATTAACAATCATCAAAATGCAGATGCATTGTCAACCATTTGCAGGACCTCTGGTTCTATACAATCACCATACGAAACACAGCAGAATTAAACTGCTATTTTAATTATTATATGAGAGCATGGCCCTTCCTCGGCCAAGCCACCCCATTCGTGCTACAACCATAATATAGCTGTATCATGGCTCTATTACATCTAACGAGCAAAAGAAGAACAAGAAATGTATTATAGAGGATATCCATAGCAGACACGACAAGAGAAGCGTTACTGACATAGCTCAATGAAGTAAGGTGAAGCAGAAATGGGCCAGTCGGTAATTATAATTTTTAATTATATACTCGATTTGAATCATATGTGTAGTAGCTACATTTGTAATGATTTACATTTACACACTTTTTTTATATAATAAGTGTGACAAACAGGCACACAGTTCACCTGATGGTAAGTGGATACTGTAGCCTATACACTTACATTAATCCTTGATTAAGAATCAAAATGCAGATGTGTTGTCACCACTGAGGACTAAGATGGAATGCCTTGTGAAAAGTTTCTCCAATTTTCTACACTCACCATACAAATCACAGCAGAATTTTACTACTGTATTATATACTATGTACTATGTTTAGTTTTACTCTTTTATAACTGCTATGGCCATCACATAAATGACATTAATTCCTTAACACTAACAGTCTAGTTTCCAGACACAATACTAAGACAATAGCAATATACCCATGCATGGCTCATGGGACAGGAAATGGGTTAATAAACCCTATGCTATGACTGTTTTGTATACTATGTATACATTTTGATTTTATTTCATTTTTATTATTTGTTTGATTACAAGGAACTCCTTTACAAAAAGTTCTGGACTACATGGGGTCAGAGGAAGTATTCTATATTCCAAGAAATTGACTAATCTGACAATGTCTTGTAAAAAAAAAATTCAGATTTATTTATTTTTTCTGAAAGTGTATGCTGTTTACCCCGCAGTCTTTACAGCTTCATCAAAATATACTCGTGAGTGAGAGCCCACAAGCTATTGAGTGAAACGATTCTGCCGTTCCGAGGGACCCCGACTCCTGCTTTTGGAGTGAGGCTCCTTAAGCTAGGAGAGAGCTCAATGCGATTCAAGGGCTCCTCTGAAGGAGTTACGAACCTCAGGTTGATAGTGATCTATCGCAATGAATGTAATTTTCAGATTATTGCATGTCAACTGTATATTTGGCACACATCAAATGTGAAGCAGACATGTAGTGCCCTATTTTTATTTTTAGACAAAAAGGGGGAAGTATTTATGTCAACTGTTTTTTTTGTGGATTTTTTTTTAAATCTGAAAGCTGCTACTTCTCGTGTGGTCCCATATAAATTAAATCAAGATCTAACTAGCAGTTTTTGAGTTATCCGCAATAATGCGTATTTTTTGCGTATATTTACATGGAGTTGCGGAAAACAACCCATCATAAACTAAACTAATGCGTATTTAATTGACTGTTGTTCTCATTTAATTATATTGCGGTCGGTTACACAAAATTTTTAATTTTTCCATTTGTATTTTCTAGCTTTGTCTTAATAATAGATTCCGTCAGTGTAATGTATTTACACTGAGTCAGGTTCATGTATCAAAAAGGCATAAATTTAATGCAATTGATTGAGAGTCATATCATTAAAAGAATTGAAGGTAACTGTTTTAAATATGTGGTTGATACACTTTATTTTGAATGCTACTATTGTACAGAAATTTTGACAAGAAATTATTACCACATCTATTGATTTACGTCACAAACATATTCAATGAAGAGTCTTTTAAAAAACCTAAAAAAAATTTTAAAAACAAAAAAAAATGTAACAATTAACATCCTAGTCTCAGTAATAATTTTTTTTTCGATTTAATATTAAACAACATCATGTAGATGCATATATTTATCACTTGACGAATACTAAAAGGTCAAAGACCCATGGCTGGCAAAGGCAAATTATAGTTCTAACCACTCGCCAATCCGAATCACTCAAAGAAAAAGGATCAAGCAAAAAATGTACTTAATATTAACGATTTAAGACTTAATTCTTATGCGCGAAATTAAAAACAAAGGGGCTGCGCACTGTAGGTGTGTGAAATCAAATTCAAGCGAAAAATTTACTTATAATAAATGACCAAAGGCATAATTCTCTCTGCGCGAAGTGATAAACGGGACGAGGTGGCGGGAGGATGCCTGTGGTCGAAGTACTTAGTATATATATAATATAGTATGTATATATATAAGTTCACTAGCGCATGCGACGATAATTAAGTCACTAGTCCAACGCCGGTATCCTTGATGATGGTTCACGGGCCGCTTGACCTAATTTTCGTGTACGCGTTCTTTGAGTTTTAATTCTTATTTTGTGGACCTTTTGATAAGTTTCTTGATTTGTTTATGATAAGACATGTTTATGATAGGATAATAACAGTTTATGCAAAATTGGACGCTTACTTTTAATGTTTTGTATTTTTTTTTTGTGATGGGACACATTTATAATACTATGAATAAAAATCATATTTAATAACTTAGTGAAGTGGTGTTTACTTTTTTAACGTTTTAACTTTTTCTAAGTTTTAAGATACCTCATATCAATTTCACATTGTCGGAATAAACCGACATGATATTGATTTATAGAGAATGCCACCAAAACGCGGCTCTAGCATTACATAACATTTAACAATTAAATTTGATTTGATGTATTTATTAAACTTTATTGATTACAAGATTAGAGTGATTATTTGGATAAAAACAATATCATAAGGTTTATGATTTGTTGATAACATCGAATTAGCATCGCCCTACGCGTGCCTAATTCCCTATGTATGGGCAAGTGTAGGTATTGCTGCACCGTTGCAGTTTTTACAGATCACTTCAGGTCAATAAACTCATATTATCCAGGATGATTTATTTTGTGTAATATTTTAAGCTATTTATTTTGTTTGAAAAATGCACTTTTTTATATTTTATATTATTGTTTATTTTATTATTTCAACAGACGTCTATCAACTTGCATTAACTGCTGCACTATAAAATGTGATAACCTAATCGCCACCCAGTATAAGTTACTTCAAGTATTGCAAGTATTTACAGATGCCCATTTTTAATGTAATATTGAATATGTGTTTCAATACATGCTGTATAATATCTAGTAATAGTTTTGATTTAAACTAACCCTTTCAGAGCAAGAATATTACAACTTGGATGAGCTAAGTTTGCACTTCACTGCAATGTGAAACTCTCCGTTTCCCCGCTCTCAACCCATTGCTTATACAGTTGCGTCAGTACAGTTTGCATCTTTGTTACCGATATGCACATCTTAATTTTAGTCTCCTATGTACATATTTTTTGAATAATTTTTGTTGTTACGTCATCCGCACCAAGTGCAAACTTAACTCAACAGAGTTGTACACATTTTTTAAAGTAAAAAGTAAAGAAACATTACAGCCTATATATATTCCACGCTGGGCACAGGCCTCCTCCCATTTCTGCGTGTTTTAGAGAAAGGTAACGCCTATGCTGCCCTGATGCATGTTAGAGAACTTTATGTCTTTGAAATATTTTTTTATTTCTCAGACATACAGGTTTTACTTCACTGCTAAGCACATGGTAAATTGTCACTTAAAATTGCAATTAACAATTTCATTGACCTCTAGGGTGTAAATGATTCTTTAAATTAACTTACTAAGATGATGCACTGTTGAAGTCTTAACAATAGAAAGTTTAAGTTATGCAGTTTGTTAAATTGTATAATATACACTAATATTTCAATAACAAGCCCATAACCACTCATCCATTATAAATTTTGTAGTAGTATTCTAAAAATATGTAAGTGGACTACCTATAGAATCAATTTTCGTTGGACCACTAATTAACTTTATTTTGTGTGTGAAACTATGAGCAAATGTATTTGCGATGATCATTATTAGATTTATAGCTATATGCGTACTTCATGTGCCCTATAATTCTATTTTTACTTTCACAAAATGGCTGCCCAAGATTATCGATCGTGCGCCTGCAACTCACCTTGAATTGAAAGCTTACCTTTAGAGTTCCGATAGCGGATTGGCAGGAGCGAGGGCTCCAAACGCGCGCGGCGAGTCGCGAGGGGCGAAGCCCCAGGGCAGGCGCGGGCGTTGCCACGCGGCGGGGCTGTCGAAACGCCCGGCGCCGCTGCAATACAACCGACATACGCATAAGCATCACGAATCGCGGGCCCGACGGATGCCGTGCGAAATTTCGCTCCCGCGCGGAAGACGCTAACGCGAAGCGTCTCGGCCTCCGGGCTGCGGGGCGGCACGAGCGCGGAACACGCAGTATGCGGCTGTCGAGCCATCTCCTTCCCCTTTGTCTCCTGACTTGTCAGCTGAACATCAAACATACTAAATCCACCTTTAATAAATCACAAAACAAAGTTACGAACCAGTAATATTAAACACGATAACTTTCACTGAAGTTTTATGGAAATTCGTCGATGAAAACTTGTCTTGTTATACACTCCCGAGGCACACCTTTCTCGAACCATCGGCCATTTTGTTTAGCGATTTGCGAATGATATGACCTTTTTCTTGAGATCACACGTCTTGTCACGTCTATTGAGTGAAAGTATTTTTTTTATAATAATATTTAAACGATTACAATGAAACATGATAACCATTTCACTAAAAACGTTTATACAAAATAAGATAATGTACCTAAATCACAGATTTTGTAAAATTTCAAAGAATTTACATATGCAATAGCAAATACTAAACAAAAAATTTGCAATAACGAAACGCAAGTATTGACAGTTTTGTGAATGCCACTAAAGAAAATATAGAACTTTTAGTAGAAAAAAATTACTAATTTTATACATATTTTGAATAAAACTTTACACATTTTGCTGTTTTCTATTCAATGATGAAGATACATTTAAATGGCTATTAATATTCGTTTAATATATTTAGTTTGGTTAAGATGTCATATGTATCAGAAGTAGACGGTAAAAACAAATCAAATGGTGATGAATTTTGAACCTAAAAATCACAAGTAATATAATACAAATTATATTAAATTCGATTGCTTAGTGCGATTGCCAAGTCAATCTATTTATTTAAAATATAAAAGATTTTTAATATTGATATCACAATAAGATGTTATTATGTTAGCTAATTACGTAATAACTTAAGACAGAAGGACCCTTAATTAGGGACTGAATAAATTAACCGAATTGGTATTACATGTACATCAAACTGGTATGCAATATGTCAAAATCGATTGGGCCAGTGCAGCAAATCAAATATATGCTGCACTAGCCCAACCGATTTTGACACATTGCATACCAGTTTGGTTTGGTGCTCCGAAAACGAAACTCTTACCACTAGAACGTGGTCAACGTTCATTAATAAAAGTAATATACAACAAACCATATAGATTTCCTACAGAAGAACTTTACTCAGTTAGTGGTTTATTGAGTGTTAGAAAGTTATAAATTTTAAATTTATTGTGAACAAAACCTAAAACAACTTTCTACAACTGCAAAAGAAGTAACAGACGAGGAAAAGTTTTTGAATTAACTCTAGTCAGGACAAATTTTGCTATACACCAATTTAAAAGACAGGTTGGCCGAAAATTTCTCGAACTGCACTCAATGAGTTATTGGAGGTGTGACATGTTGCCCCGTATTGCTGAAACCACGATCGTTGATTAAAACCATCTAAATTTTGTAGCGAGGGAGCTAAAAGTTTTGTAACACGACAATATACCGCTCTGTATTCACTGTAACAGTGCGACCCCTTTGGTATTCAAAGAAGTAGAGACCAATAATGCCTCTTGCTGACAAAGCTGCCCATACCTTGGGTGAATGCAGGGGTTTTTGATGCTTCAATTTTGGATTATTGTCACTCCAATACCTGCTATTTTGCCTGTTGACATCCCCGTTAAAGTGAAAGTGTGCCTCGTCTGAGAAAAATTTTTTGGTAAAGCTGGTAAACCTCTCTAGCATTTCGTTGGCTACTGCAGTCTGGTAGCGTGATCTTGAGGTATTAATGCCTGTACCATTTGGATTTTGTACGGATGAAAACGTAAATCTTTATGAAGAATGCGGTTTAAAGACGTTCTGGACACACACTTGTTCACGAACAGACGCTCTTACACGTTCCACATTTTCGGGATCTCTTGATGTCCTAGGTCGGCCGCATCTTGGTTGTTGTAACGTTGAACCTATCTTTTCGAATTTCTTTACCCAACTCTTAATCAACTGAATCGATGGAGCTTCATTTTTATGGCGTATATTGTAATGATTACAATATTTTCGTTGCGATATTGTCAAAGAATCGTTATTTTTGTAATATACGCGTACGCAGAACGCACGTTTTGCTCCGGTGAAGGAAGCCATGGCACTAAATTCCCATCGGCCGCTCTTTCATTTCATAACCCCGCCGCCCCGCCCATCCACTGCTCCGCAACGCAGCTATCGATTCAAAAGTTAACGGACTTTTGGTCCACTCTGTACAAAACTCTTATTAAATAAATGTGAGCTTAGTTTCCTGTATTTTCTTTATTTTTTTTTGTGTTTAATAAATGCAATTAGAGTTAGTTAAATAATAAACAAAAAAAGGTAATTCTAGCTATAGAAGAGCGGGAAATCCTGCCACAAGTATATATTTACTTAAAAGGATGTCTCACTTACTCCCATACCTATGTAATGTGTGATATTTTTAAAGAAATAAAGAATTTTAATCAATTTTTAATTTTTACGATAGTAGAACTGAGTTGCGAGATTTGGTTTTTTTAAAGTTATGTTTTTGATAGCATCTCATTTCTTTACGCAGATAGTCCTACTTTTTTCCTTCTGGTACCTTTTACTTTTTGATTACCAACAAAGTACCTATCGACACCTTTTATTCCATTATATTATACATATACAGGTGCACTGATTCATTCACTGCAAATGTAACTTTGTAATCCTATATATTATTAAGGGATTACATTATTTTTTTGGATTATTTGATTTATGTAGTTAGTGTATATAGAAAACTGGACCGAAAGTGCCTTAGAATTTTGATGATCGATCAGTCAATGAATGACAAAATTAAGAAACTTTGACTAGTTATAATTCCTAAGCTACTGATTCAAATCGACTGAAATGTGAAATATACCGTGTCCATACAATACCTGCTTGGTTTCTGAAAATTCAGGTTTCCAGTTCTATCTACAACGAAGTTATAGGGGGTCGAAAATGACCTAAATTGCTTCGAGAAAAGTATGGTACGGCCATGCCCCTTATTTGCTCGCCTTGGCGGGGGCACTGCCCTGTCCCCAGATTAGGGGATATTATAGATTTATCTTGTGAATAAATTTATTTATTTATTATATATAGGTATTTTATACAAAGTAAATATGAACTTTTTTTAATATTTTATTTTATAATTATTACTAATTATTTTAATTAGTTTTAGGATGAACGCTTGGTCGAAGTATGTTATGTGTATTAAATTGTTATTTATTACACATAATATGGTAGAAGTTTAGGATCCTTGGTAAGAATTGCAAGTCAAAACTGGCAACACTCAGTGCTTATATTTTTGTTTTTAAATAAAAAAAACTGCAGTGCACTTGCATCACTCGGAAAGAGAGGGAGTGTTGCGTGCACTTTTAATTTTAAGTTAAATTAATTTCGTTAATGATTATTTTTATATTATAAAAATAAGTTAATTAATTCAATTTATTTCAATTTAATATATATTCACATAACATTGTAGTGTGTAATAAGAATTTAAGAAAAGTCACGTAGGCACATAGCTTGTGTAATTACATAAAAAGTAATCATGATTTATTTACGAAATCCTTAAAAAAAGACGAATTGAAGTGAGACATTACAGACATTCTTATTAGCACACCGGCAACACAAGACAAACGAAAATAAAATCCGGGCTTGCAAGATACAGGGGAAGGCTGAATTTGAAGGTAAGTCACATATTTTTTTATAATCTTAAGAAACTGTAATTTTTTGAAGGTATTTATATATTTACACCAAACCTATTAAAATTTAATTAATTTTCATTGGTATTGTGTTATTCAAGTTGGCACAATTCCTTTGACCTACAAATAATCTATTATTTATATCATTCGTTTTCTTATTGGTATATAGGTAAAATTAAATGAATTTTTGGACACTACACATTTATTTTTAACCTTTATGTATATTTCCATATAAAGGTACATTTTTGATAATTATCGGTCTTTGCTTTGGCCTTCAGGGATCTAATATTAAAATGATTGCAGGAGTCTGAGCAATTTAGATTTATATTAAAATTAACTACTTAACAATTAATTTTTATATAAATAAGTACATGCTCTATTTCTTTCCTTCAATTTTACATTCATGACGGAAAAAAAATCTTTCCGTAAAAGTTACTTGTTCCAGACATCCAAGTTCCAATCACAAATAAGTAATATAAAAAATTACGATGGTTGAATTAGGGATAAAAATATAGTATTTTTCGTACTATATTATTTTTCTATAATATACAATTGGCTGAAATATACTACGATATAGTATGTGTGGTAACCCTACTAGTGTCACGCATCGGTACGATCAATAATTAATGGTTTTTTTTTAGTTTTAAGATAATCTCATATATTTTATCAATTTCAATCAAGAAGATCTTATACATTTTATCAATTATTAATTATAAAATCTCAAGTTTTTCGATAAAATTATAGCCTAGATCCATTGAGTTACTTTATTACATAATAATTCAATGCCTAGATCAGTAGAGTTTCATTAGATAATTCCAAAGATAGCCCAGACAGATAAAAATAAAAATAAAATGCTCTTAGCTCATTATATATATATATATATATATATATATATATATATATATATATATATATATATATATATATATCATCATCATTCATCATTACAGCCCTTCACAAGTCCACTGCTGAACATAGGCCTCCCCCAAGTAATGCCACAAAGCACGGTCCTGAGCCACCTGCATCCATCGACTTCCTGCATGTCTTACCAGGTCGTCACTCCATCTAGTGGGGGGTCGCCCTACACTACGCCTACCGGTGCGAGGCTGCCACTCGAGAACCTTTCTTCCCCATCGGTTATCGGTTCTTCGAGCTATATGGCCGGCCCATTGCCACTTCAGCTTACTAATCCGTTGGGCTATGTCGGTCACTCTGGTTTTACTGCGGATATCCTCATTTCTGAGTCTATCACGCAGAGAAACTCCGAGCATAGCCCTCTCCATAGCTCGCTGAGCGACCTTAAGCGTCCTCATACGGCCAGCAGTGAAGGACCACGTCTCAGATCCGTAAGTCATCACTGGCAACACGCACTGGTTGTACAATCTAGTTTTTAGAGATTGAGGTATACCTGACGAAAAG